AAGAAGGCCTTCGCTGACACCGAAAAAGCAAAATTTAATCCAGGAAAGCGAAGCGCTTAAAATTGAAGGAAAAAGCTGCGTGCACAATGAAAGGGAAAGGCTGCCAGACCATGTGTCCGGCGCAGATGGACACGTCGTTACTTTACATCCGCCAAAACAAGGAGAAAAAAGACACTCTCTGTATGATTTGCAACAAATTTTAACTTTGCTTCAAGAAGAGAATTTGAAGCGGCAGACCTCGTCAACGGCTTCGACGCCTCGAAATACAAGTGCGACTTCCAGCGCGAACGATAAGGCTTCAAATGCGTCTGTTTACGATTTAAGGGAGTTCTTGATGCTAGCGGCCGCCGAAGCTTCGAATGCCAGTACGGGGCAGACGAAAAAGAAGACGAGCGCTTCACAACATCTTCTTCTTCCTGGTCAAGAACGAGAAAATACACGCAACGAAAGAAAAGGTTCAGTGTATGATCTAATGGAGTTTTTATCACTGGGTAGCGTTGCTGAATCGGAATCAAGCTCGGCGAGCGAAAACTCCAGTAGAGCGACTTCCCCGAGAATCGTGTTATCCCCTGGCAGCCCGGGTTCAAATGACTCGCTTTCTGTTTCTACGCATGCAGAAGAAGGAAGACGATCGTCTACCTACGATCTGATGGAGTTCTTATCTCTGTCGCGCTCCGGGGGGAGTTCCCGCTCTGATTCAGGGCAGAGTACTCCAGCTTTGCGTGGAAATGATTCTAGTGGAGTAGAAAATGAAGAAAGTGAGCTGGGAAGACAGAAAAAAGAGAACAGAAGCCTGTCTGTTTATGACCTAGCAGAATTCTTGTCTATGACCTCTGCTGTACCTCCGCTCGTACGAGTTACACCGGCCTCAGATGAGGAACAAACGAAAGCCAGCGCAAATCTCGCGCAGTCGTCAGGAGCCATGAACAATCATTTAAACATGCCCAGGCAATCAGTGTACGATCTGAGAGAAATTCTGAATGTTTTGCAACAAGAACACGAGAGAAAACGCGAGTCCACCTACAGTTTGCAAGAAATTCTGTCTAAAATGCAGCGAGAAGCTGATGAGAAAAGCCACCTCGCTTCTGGTAACGCAGGTTCCAACGAGAAGGACACCCTCGCTTCGCCCTCGCCTCCGATGACCGCCAGCAGTGGCTACTTGACCGCTAGCGATTCCGCAACTTCAGCAAGCGCGAAATACTTGGAGGCAAATACCAGTAATCGTCAAATGTCTGTGTATGACCTGAAAGAATTCTTGTCGTTGCATGCCATTCAACAGAGCCAGCCAAATCAACAACAGCTCTCATCCGCCGTGCTCAGACGAAAGTTTTCCGGCGTCTCGCAAAGCGGTGTTAGTATTTACGTCACGGACGAGAGCAACAGAAGCATCGACAGTGAAGTCTTCGAAGATGTGTTCCTTCCAGTGCCTGGCATAGGGACTGACCCGAGTGGACCTTCGCCTAAGAGAGGCTCAGTATACGACCTCCGCGAGTTTTTAAACATTTTAAACGATGACGAATCCCCCTTGAGAAGAAGATTGTCCAGCGTGTCATCTGCCTCGTCTAAACCTAGCGAAAGCGAACCTGAATCAAATTCTTACACAAACTCGCGAAATTCAGATTCAGCTGCCGCGAATGAAAATATCACGGCCGGCGCAACGCGACCTCAACTTTCCCCGCGTCAAGATTCGGGAGGCAGCATGTCTCTGTATGATCTTGGTGAGTTCCTTTCGCTTCTCAACACCGACGAATCTCCACTAAGGCGGAGGCTTTCAAGCGCGAGCGAAATTATGGCCGGAGAGGGTGAAATTCGTGTACGAACGCCTGTTCTTTCGAGAAGCGACTCAGAGAAGGGACTTTACAGTCTGGAAGAAATACTGACACTAATGAAAGACCTTGAACAAAAGAGAGTCAGTGAAAACACGAGTGGGGAACTTGAGGTCGGTTCTGGGGAGGAAATAAGTTTACAAGTTCCAACTTTACCTCCTAAAACTGATAAAATAAACACTCAACCTCTATCGTCTAAAAAGCACTTACAGTCTCAAAGATCACTGAAAAGTGTCCCAGAAACGTCCGAAGTAAGATCTAACATTTCGAATTCTTCATAGACTAATTTTTGTGTGAATCTCGCTGAGAGAATCAATTTAAATGACTTGCAATAGCAATCGATGTTTTAAATCTTGACGCTGTTTCAATCAAAATAAATAGTTTTGTTTGAATGAAATAAATGTTTGCTTCAAATTTTTGTTAAATATATGGTTGGAGGGCTTTTCTACTCTGCCATTTTCTCAACGTGAATTGTGTAAACTAAGTTTTCTTCAATCCAGCTAAATATTTGGTCATATCGCGCCTGAGTGAGGTATCTTGTACATAAATTGCAACGGAAAATAAATTTGTTGGTTTAGCCTGTCAGTCTACAGTGATTCCATATTGAACGAAATTTTCACCTGCCAGGCTATTTAGAAAAAAGCCAAAATTTACATAAACAGTTTTGAACACTGAATTTGTTGATTAAAGGTTCGTGGAGGCGAAAGGGCATTAAATATAGCAATGACCCTCGCCGATATATTTCAGAATTGACGATAGAGTCGCAAATATTTATTAAGTTACAAATGAGTATGTAACCCTGTAAAATAGGCTTCAAAAACGAGTTTTCTCCGGACAAAACGACACACAATTCGAGCACATTTCTATATACACATTGTATTACCTTTCAGACTAGCTAAATGTAAACAAATCATTCGCGGTGTGTCGAACTGGTATATACGTCTGTTTACTGTCTTCTGTTTCACGCTAAACGGCAAAGGAAATTCATAACAGACGCCTGCACGTATCACAAAAAAGTTTATGTCATTCTCACAATCGCTGTGTTTTGATTATCTACGGTAAAGAGCTTTCTGGTCTGCTGGCGTTTTGAGCATAAATCGCCCTATTTTCCCTTTCTTGGCCTTTTCTGACACTAAAAATATATAGTCAGAGTCCATGATAATTCGGACCTGTACTTCTTGACTAATATAAATAAAACGATATTGATTGTATGAGTAGGTGAAAGAAAAAAATATATAGTTAAAAGATCATCAACCAATTTTCTATTTTTAAATACTTCCACCTAAAAACTAAATGCTTTGCTGAAAATGTATCATTAGAATTTATGGACTTGCTACCTTGATATTGCCTTTGTATGATTTATTAATTTTTTTTTTTCGTTTACAACTATACTTTGCACGGTGTTTTATAATTAGTCGACATTTTTTTGAATTTCCAGCTAAAATATAAATTCCTTCGTCCGTAATGTACCCCGAAAGCAAGAAAAACTACATTGAAAAGGATAATGCCGGAAGGCAAGGAAACCAACCACGGAATTTCAATGTTATTTAGTCTTAGACGTCTATGAGCCATTCATTTGCCGGATTTTCAGATAGGACGCTTAAAACGGATTAATACTGCCTTACGTATAGATACTAGAAATCTCAAATTATATTTGTTACTCCAGCAAGACCTTTATGCAGTTAACTCCGATCAAACTTCTGAGTTCAAGTTGCGTCATTCATCTGAAATGCCAATTTTCAAAGTCTTGAAAAGTAGAGACCCTTAAAAAATTGTTGAGAAATATTGAACAATATTTGCACTGTTGGCTTTCTCACTGAGTAATGGTCAGTATACTAAGTAAGTAATATTAAGTACGTCAAACCTTTCAATAGATTTAGCCTCATTGGAAATTAAACATATTTGGAGACGGCACTTCCTTACAGTAAAAATTTACGCTTAGAATTTTTGTACAAAATATAAACTGTCAAAATTGATTCGAATACCAAATCTTTGTTCCCAAATTGCTGTCCTTCGTCTAATCGGATCGGTGTTAAATGCTTTAATTTCAAGTATTTTCGTTCCAAACTGCGGACATTATGAGAGGGTATTTTAGACGACTTAGGGCAAGCCTTCGGCTCCAGATTGGATTCATTTTCTCATTATAACTACATTAACTTATAAAGTGCTGGCTTTTTTTTTCGCCAATCTGGTTTCCATGTAAGATGTTTTTCTGAATATCGATATACACGCCGTGCTTTGTAAATTTGTAGGTCGGGCAACCTCAAGTAATTAAAACTTTTATTATGTCTATTATTTGTCAATTGTTCTACTAAGCCCTGTCATTTGCATTTTCTCTTCATTAGCTCTCAGTCCATGCAGGCAATACTCCCTCGTATGTCAATAAATGTAATCGCTTTATCCCTTACCCGAGATGAAAGGACAATTTGAAATTCCATGATGATTCTCAGATGATGTACGTTTAGTTTGATCGTGGGTTGATTATTGCAGTTTCAAAAAATTGATAACGAAGAAAACGTTTGCGCCTCCGTAATTGCCCCTAATGTATTCCTTTAATATGGAAATAGACAAGACAAAACTTAACTCATTGTGAAAACACCCTCGCTCCACGTGAACAATGTCACGAAATGAAAAAAAGACCAGTTATGTAAGCACTAAATTGGCTTTGTACGTAATACCCCAGGCAAAAGTAATAATACACTTAAAACCTAGCTTGTAAATTAGAGTTTTAAAGACATTACGCTAATGGATCGAAATGGACGAAATCTTCACCACTCATTTGTGACGGAAATAGCTGACACCTGTTTTGCGTGTCCAGGCGGCCGCTGACTGGACGGTCGCGAGAGACCGGAGAGCTGGGACCACGAATTTCTAAAGGCTGGTTTTCACTCGCGCGTAAGCACAGGAATAAGTAAAATAGGGGGACTGCTGCTAATGAAATAGGGCATTTAGTTGAAATTTTTTCTAACAAAAGACACTAATTATCTGCATCTTACTACGTCTGTTTATATCGATTAGGGCAGCGTCCACACAGCACCGGAGGAATCTGAAAACGGAACTTCATTTCTACGGCTAGGCCTACCGTCCACATTAGTCTGTCACGAAAACGGAGCTTTTCAAAAACGCTCTTTAAACCGGAATTTGAAAACGCCGACTTATTGTTTTCGTGTGGGCTGAAAACGTTTTGAAACTTCAGGCTAAATACACGCATCGTTGGTTAAATAAAGCGATGAATTTATTTGCCTTTTTTTTCTCCCTTTTTCATGTGTTGATGTGGGAGAAAATAAATAACCGAATTGTTGTACTTATTAAAATCTGCATGCTCTGCGGGCCTGCGGGCCTGTGTGGTATATCAGATAAAGTAAACAGCGCGCCGATTTTTGGTCTTGGCCTTTTTTTCTTTCTTGTCAGTTTAATGGTGGTCTAATTCAAAATCACCATTTGAGAGTTCAAGGGTGGACTTTTTACTTATTAAGTTAAAAAAATGTGGATTTTCTCATCCCCAGCTGGTCAACTCCCGACAATTATATTTCATTATGGCAAGAAAACGGATGCTCAGCGGTCAACCTTTCCAACATACAAGAACTGGGTCCCAGTCGAGTCACAGAATGGCGGCTCTGAAACATGGGTCAAGAAAGTTTTATGATATTCCAAGCGGAGAATTATCAAATGTAAGGAGCAGATATAGTCTTCGGAAAGACAAAAATATCGAGGAACTTCTCAACTACATTAATCAAAGCTGTATTGGAAAAGATGTAATGTTTTCTGGGCCGTATGGCGCGCGGAAAGGTAAGCTTTGTGCAGCGTATTATTAAATTTTGCTGTGTGTTAAACCTCATTGTTAAACTAAAATATCTGATTTATTTGTCATTTGCAGTGACTTATTGCGACTATACAGCATCAGGAAGGTAGGAACATCGTATATAAGCAGGATCTGATATATATGAGTGGCGGTAATTATAATTTGGAGCTCTTTAATTTAAGCTTGTTTGACCGGACTGTAATTTCCAACATGGTTTCTCAAACTGGCCAGGAATTTTCATCCTGGGATGAATCTCTCTGCTTGAAATATCGAACTTAATTTCAGGTTAGTGCTTATTTAAGCAAATAAGTAAAGCTTAATGAGAGAGATCCCAAGGTCAATGAGTAGATTTTTACTTTACATGTACAGTCAAACCTCTATAGCGAAGATATCAGTGACGTCACCTATTGTTATTAATATGCCAACCAGAGAACTATTGGTCGGTGAAACAAATAATTCATACGAACGAAATAATTCTTTTGTTTAATGTTTTGAACATTTAAATAACAAAAACAATATTTGTAAACAAATATCTTCCCTATTAAGTGGACCCCATATTAAGCAGACACCCTCTATTAAGCGGACAGCAGTGCAAGTCCCATTTTTCTTTTCCCAAATTTACTGTGAAAAATACCTATATTCAACCTATATTCTATTAAGCGGACATGGACATCTTAAACTTGACTTTATGGTCATTTCTATTGTTAGAAACCTGTATCAAACGGACACTGCAATAAGAATGCATGATTTTTTTTGTCCACATTTTAGTAGACTCTTTTAGTAGATCGTACATTTAAGTTTGCCAACAAACTGAGCTGTCACAGAAACGCAATATTTTGTTATTCAGTTTTGTTTTTACAGAACATTTGTTCTTGTTTGATTTTGTGAACCTTCGCATGATTCGATCAATATAGATACTGTTACTGTAAACTTAAATCGCTTTACCTCGAATACATGTCATTGTTTATGGAAATACAGTATTTCAGAGTTCTTGACCATTCATGAGAATGCTATTTGACCCTTTCAAGGTCTTTTAATACTGACGAATATTAATATGACCCTTTTAAGACGAATTCTGAGGAAACCTGTTTTCAACAGATACCCTGTATTAAGCGGACACTAGCACTGGTCCCGAGGGTGTCCGCCTTATACAGGTTTGACTGTGTGTTTTTCATTTTGAATGTTCTTCCTTAGATCATTGACATTTGTTGAGGATTACATACGAGAGCAGGTCTTGCCTCACTATGGCAACACACACACAACTACAACAGTGACCTCCCTGCAGACCACCTTGTATCGCCATGAGGCAAGGTCAGTGGCTAATATAAACCCACTAAATAAATGTGCTTTGCAACCCTCATAACTCAGTCCTCTTGAGATCTCATCACGATTTTGGTAACCTTTTTTTTGGGTTAACCCTTTCAAAATTAAAATATCTGTATGAGAATCCATTATTAAATCTTTCGTAGAAAATTTTTACAGCTTCTGATGATTTCATTCTCAGAAATTAAAGGTAGCTAGCAAAAAACTTCTGCAAAAAGCCTTGTAGTTGTGGCATATTCTACTGTGCAAGAATGGTATTGAAATTGTGTTAGAGTCAGACATGTATCACAGATGTGTCAGAAGAGTAAAATAAGGACGTTTAATTAACACTTACAGTAGAACCTTGCGGTCTTAAACTCCATTATCTTGAACTCAGATCATTTCCCCTTGGATATAATACATTTTCAGTCACTTACTATTGGCTATCTTGAACCCCTGACATCTTACACTTTTTTTTGTTATCCTTAAATTAAAAGTTCAGATCTATAGCATAGCAGGGATCAACTGCACATTCAAGTAGTGCTTAGAGTTAACTAAGCGGTTTCATTATTGCTACCAGGGATATTATCAGAAATGCAGTGAATGCCAGTGAGAGTGACTCTGTGGTATTTGTTGGAAATGGTGTGACAGGAGCAGTTCACAAGTTAATTCATGCACTGGACTTCAAACATCCTCCAGTGAGTTTTCTGATTGCTGTCAGTAGCTGTGTCTAAACTGATTAGACTTGCCAACAGTAATTCTTAATTTGATGCCCTAAAGAATTCTGTCACACTTTTCTGTCATTGTTTATCCTTAAGTATCCCTTGTGGGAGGCGCAATGGCCTCATGGTTAGTGCACTCCACTTGGGATAGAACGGTCCAGGGCCGAGTCCAGGATGGGGACACTGTGCTGTGTTCTTGGGCAAGACACTTAACTCTCACAGTGCCTTTCTCCACCCAGATGTATAAATAGGTATTGGTGAATTTAATACTGGAGGATAACCCTGTGATGGATAAGCATCTTATCCAGGGTGGAGTAGAAATACTCCTAGTCACTTCATGCTACAGAAACTGGAGATAAGCGCTAGCCTGATGGATCACTTGGCTTGTATGCAGACTTGTCACCTACCCCTTAGTGCTTTTACTATGTGTTTATATTTATTAGGCAGATGTCACTCCTGTGGATAGAACTAAGAAACTTGTTCAAAGCAGCTTGGTGCCTTTATTGTTACAACTAATTCTTGTGGGAAAGGAAGTATATCACATTTGAACTAAGTTACACAGCCCAACTTCCACCAATCTTTGGTACAGTGGTAGTGCATCTAATTTAAAAGTGTGTGCAAGATCATAGTAAGGTCTGTGTTTGAGTCTAGTGGCGTATCAGCCCAGTGCCTGTCTCCAGTTTCCATAGCAGGAAGTGAGTAGGATCATTAGATTAATGATCCTACTCACTTCCTGCTATGAAAACTTGAGACAGGCACTGGGCTGATACGCCACTAGACTCAAACACAGACCTTACTATGATCTTATACTCTCCACCTACCTCACTGGATTGGATGCTAGTCCATTACAAGGTTACCACCCTCTAGCATAAAATTTGCTGGTGCCCCACTCTGAGTGGAAAGAGGTATTGTGAGAGTATTTCTAACTCAAGAACAGAGTAAAGGGTCCTGCTCAAGAACATGACACAATCACCGTGGCCTGGGGCTGAACATGGAGCACTTGAACCAGGGTCCAGTGCACTAAATGTGAGGCCACCACACCTCACACTCACAGGTTACGATCATAGGTTTGACTCCTTGTACTCCTTTTGGGAGAACTCAGTTGATATTAATTAATTTTCCAAGTGGATTGTCACTGATTGATGCAGGCCTTTCTCAAGAGATTATTCTCCCAAGCATAACATAAATTATACATGTACAATCATTTCTTTCTGATATCCCATGGCTGTTTGAAGCCACTCTGAGTAGCTAGTAAATAAATAACATTTTGTCAGTGATAAACTGCCAAACTCTTTTAATCACTGGGAAGAGAATAAATCCTGGCCCTCTTTCTCATAAGCTTGCAATGATGATGACTAACATTTACATGTAGCATTTTTCTAATTCTTGTACAATGTTCTTTGGAATCAGATTGTGTTTGTTGGACCATTTGAGCATCATTCAAATCTTCTCCCTTGGAAAGAATTAGGCGCTGAGGTAAGGTGCAAAAGGCTCACAAGTTTTTTCACAACTTCAAACACATCCCTTGGCCAGTAGATTTAATTGTATATACAGTTTGTCAACTTATAGTAAATAACTTGCATCACAGTTGCATTATCAGTGTATTGAAAATGCAGTTTAAAAATTCAATTATTCTACAAGTAAGTTGAAATAGGTGACTGAAAAGGTTACAAAGATTCTCAAGTTATTTACCTATTTGCACAGTGCTTCATAACCACTCATTAAGCTGTTTTTCAGATTAGCTGTAAGTTACTATTTATCTAAGCAGTAGTTTGTATAAATTGTATTTTTTTTTTCTTGGAAAGTGTTCTCCTCATATAATTGAAGGGGTGAGTGCAAAACCATGCTAAGTGACGATTTGGGTGAAAAAAAAATTTCACAAAAGGGCTTGCATTTTTGCATCCTTGCCGTCATGCGTTAACGTGAAATCAACATTTTAACCTATTTAGACCTGAAATCGACATCATTGAGCTTATGCGCTGCATGAAATCGACATTTTGTTGGTTTCTAAGTGAAATCAACATCCTTGCCGTCACGCGTTAATGTGAAATCAACATATAAACCTATTTAGACCTGAAATCAACATCATTGAGCTTATACGTTGCGTGAAATTGACATTTTACTGGTTTCTAAGAGAAATCAACCTCCTTGCCGTCATGCGTTAACGTGAAATCAACATTTAAACCTTTTTTGACCTAAAATCAACATTTTTGAGCTTATANTATAACAAAGGCTTGGCTTGGTTATTATAACAAAGGATCGGCTCTGTTTATCATAACAAAGGCCTGGCTTCGTTTATTTGAAGGCCTCGGCTGGAAAAGGGCGTTAGGTATTTTAATCAAAAGTGAACTTTGTCGAAAACGCTCTAAATTTTGCATGCAGTTTTGTTTAGGTATGTTTAGCAATGTCCCGTAGTTTTTCCGCTAAGCTTTGCTTCATTTTCGAGATATTGCGTATGCAAAAAAACCACTTGGTTTTCCTAGCAGTGTCTTTATAAACGAAGCAAAAACCAGCGGGAAAAATACAGCACCATGTTTTTCTATTACATTGAAGACCACATGCAAAAATTCAAGCCCTTTCGCGAATTTTTTTTTTCACCCAAATCGTCACTTAGCATGGTTTTGCACTCACCCCTTCAATTATATTTTTTTCTTCTAGGTTATATGGATCAAGCAAAACCCAAGTGGATCAGTTGACTTGCCAGACTTGGATTCTAAACTAAAGGTGCTTGCTTTGTTGTCCAAATGATAATGATGATGATGAAACTTCAGAGGCCACTTAAGTGTTGTAAACATTATTGTCTGCTTGTTGTTTCACATTATTGCTACAAAATCATTACTATTAATTACCAATTAAGTAAACATAGGAAGGCAAAAATCCATACAAAGTGCCACGAGAACACATATCTTTGCAAGCATTTTACCCTCTTCATGAACATTTATATCATGTCCATGTAATGCTAGGCAATATTCATGGTGATTTTCTAGACAGATTGTTTCATGAAGGCATGGGGTGATGGTGTATATTTCTCTTATTAGCCAAGTGCCAAGGCTATACTGTGAGATTATTTCCCCAAGGTCCTGACAGTATGGATAGGGTGCAGTGAAGTTCACACAAAAAAGACCAAGGGCATATATTATAATGCTCCCAGTAGAGTCCTGAGCAAGCTCGATTATAGCCTGCAAGCAGACTCAGGTTGGAGCATGAGCATGTGCTGCATAGCCGCGAGCGCGAAATCGAGCAGTGAAGCCGCAAGACGAGAAAGTCAGCCTGCTCTGATCTCTGCAAATTTTTCATTTCCACCCCAGAAACTGCAGAACAATAAGCCAACTAAATTTCACTGGAAGTATGAACTTTGGCAGCTCAGATTTCTTGGGATTTCATGACAACATGCAGGCGCGATAAATGTTGCTGATAAGGTTTTGCCAAAGAAAAACCGTCAATGTTTATGTCTAGCAAGGACACTCACTTGATTCCAAGTGATTTTGCTTTGGCGGTCTGGTCTTTGATGATGCTGGTAGATGGGCAAACGCCTTCATGTATGTTGTTTCGTTGCCTGCTTGCAATCACATATGTTTGTATTATTTAACTCTTCCCATATGCAGTCGGCAACATGGCAAGTACGCCTTGATTCATTAACATACTTTCAACTGCTATTTCCTGCTCCCTCTTTAGTTTGAAATTTAACCAGAAATAGACTGGAACTTTGTTAAAACATCAGTAATACGGGCACTCAACTCTTCCTCTGACTCCCGATGTGGATGACTTATTTTTTATTGTGAGAACGTGTGGTAAATTACCGACTCCATGGGGATCTAATAGCTCGTGATCAAACATAATAGATTTACAGTTTTCTCGCCTCTCCCACATTTCGACCAATAGTATTTCACTTCGCTCAGGTGAAGCAGAAATGAAAAAATACAGAGATCAAGGCAGGTTCATTTTCTTGGCACCTCTTCACAAGACTCCTTCCTGCTAGATCGCTTTGCTGTTCACTGCTCGCGCACAACTCAAAGGTGAGCCTGCTCACAGCCTAGCTTGGTTAATGAGAGATTCATTACATGCCCAAAACTGTTTAGAGAGAATCATGATTATGGAGTAGAAAGACATCTTATATTTCATGTGTCCAGTTCTGATTGAAAGCTGACTTGCAGTTTGCTCACATCTGGGATGGGTTGTTCAAAAGCCAGTTTACACTGGTTACGCAACCAGGATTAAAAGTTAACTGAAGAAAAAACAGAATCCCTTGCACAGAAGTAAGTTTGTAGGAAAATAATTCACAAAACTTCAAGAAAACCATGTTTGATCATTTGGAACAGTGCCTAGTCCAATTTACTATTTTTAAATATTGGCTGATTTTAGTAATTGGCCTCCTGAACTATTTTGCTTGTGTAATAACATTCTGGTTTTAAAACAGCTTGGTCCCTTGAAATGCTTGGTCGGTCGTTTTCTTCATCTTAAGACCCTTGACTATTAAATATGACCATTCTAGTCTGTACGACTAGATTTCGGTGGCCTGTGAGTGGTCAGATTAATGGGGTTACAGTTAATGTTGTTTATTTTTCCTATTTTTAGTTTCACTCTTCAAAAGGCAGACAGTTGATTGGCTGTTTTTCAGCAGCATCAAATGTGACAGGTATTTTAACAGACACCAATGCTGTCACTGCCTGTCTGCACAGAAACGGGGCTTTGGCTTTCTGGGATTATGCCACTGCAGGTATAGCAATTGTTATTTTTTAAAGGAGCTCAGTCACGGTTTGCACATTTTGAAAAGTTTAGCCTAAATTTTTCAAATTCGTCATTTGCAATCTGTGTCAATCTTTACCATCCTTGACCATCCTTGTTCCTTTATGGTTTGTTATTATCTCTTTGATGTTTTTCTATCTTAGTAAATTATTATTTTCAGGTTTCCTTCCATTTAAAGGAGATTTTGTACATGGCCAAAAAAACAGGCAAAACACAGTCACTGAGCTCCTTTAATATAGTTTGTACATGTAGTAAGAACAGTCTTCTGTACAAGGAGAGTTTACAAGTACAGTCAGGCTGGAAAATTTGTAATGATCGATTCTAGTGTAGTTTTTATCAAGTTATTTGAAATACCTATTGTAAACAGCAATTTGAACATTTTTGAGCAAGCAATTTAATAATATCACTTGTTGTGATACAATATCATGTTTGTTAAATCATTAGTTTTGTTCATGAATACATTTTATCTCCCTTTTCTTTCTGCCATGAACAACGTAGGACCTTATGTGGACATAAACATGAATCCTTTGGTTACCAGGTGAGCTTTAATGACTTGTAATTGTTTTCCTGAGTGGTTTTCAATCGAGTGTCGAAAGTAATCAGGCAGTTACTTTGGTTTTGGTTTTACTACGGTTTGAGATTGGCTGAGTAGTTTAATTGGTAAGTCATTGGTTTGGTTTTGGTTTTATGACACTCAATTGAAAACTGTTCTATGTGCAATGATAAATATATATAATTATATAGAGCTTCCAGAACCATTTTCTGGCTTCAATACAGTCTTGTAAGGGCCAATTTACCATATGTAACAAGCTTATGACAAGTGTTTTGTGTGAATCAAACCAGTCCTATAACTTTTCAAGCAAGTTGTTTCAAGATTGCAAGCTAACGCATCCATTTAATGAACTTATGCTGTCAAATGAGGCCCGTGAATTGTTTCAGCTCACAGAAGGGAAATTTCATTCCCTCATTTAAGACATATCATAAGCATCAGCCAGTGAAGTTTCACGTTTTTTCCTGGTTACCCAGGGGAGGGGGACCTATGTAAAAGTTTTGGAGATGCTCGCAAGAAAATTTGAATTAAATCCCTAAAGGAGACCAATCTGGGTGTGGCTCGAGCTGTATTTTACCTCTAAAAGATAACACTTCAAATGACAAGGCTCGATTACCAGCCCTGTTCAGGAAAGGAGCCCATAAAAGTGAGCCTAAAGATAGAAACAAGAGCGCTTTTTTATTATTATTTCTTCGAGTGCACCCTAAAAGATACTTTGACAGCTAAAAATATCCTAAGAACAACAACCTCGTTCCCAGCCTCTCTCTCCTCTGCCTCTCTTGGTCGTTGGGAGAAAGACCCTGGTTGCAGCTGGTCACATGACAACCTGTGACACAAACTTTTCCACCGGGGTACAGTCAACGAATAATTTTTGTCCATCTCAACTAAAGTGAAAGAAAGGTCATCACTAACCACACACGTACGGGCAAATACACCTTTGAAATTCTCCAGTCATATTCTAAGCTTCACACAGGTCAGACGAAAGATATTTATATACATCCAGCGTATTGAACTATCACTGAATTCAATTCCAGCCGGTCGATTTAATATTGTAAAAAAGTAAAACTGTTCGCTGTTTCATGTTGGCTGAATTAACCTCACGGCACATTGTTCGCTAATAAAACGATGTTTCATTAACCACTTTGCGGAATATAATTCTTGACTATGCCAAGGAACCGAGTTTCAACATCTGTCTAAATATAAATTTGCATAAACCTGATGCAGATGAAATATAAGTGCGGGCTTATGTCACCAAAACTGTAAGTCATTTTGCACTGCTGTAAATCAAATGCAAGTCAGAATACTTGGCTAATTGGCAGTGTGACAGAAATACTTTTTAATAATCAAAATACCGCACAAAGAAGAACATAAATTACCTCCGAATTCAAAGATTCAAGAAATTGATCCACTGGTTTCACTTTGATTCTGTACGTGACATTTTACATGTGCTAACCGTCAAATAGTTTGTGCTCCATTTTGCTGCCGAATTTCTTTGTGAACGAAAGTCTTCTATATTTTGAAGACGGCAGAAATAGTGTAGCATTCCTTATGAGGAAAATTTGACTTCGAACCCCGATAGAGCATGTAGTTTTTAGTGACTGCTCAAACTTTTGAAACCCACAAAATTTGTCACAGCAACAAACAAAACACTCTGCCACCCGTCCCGTGTTCTCTTACTCTGGCTTCCGTCCCGTGTACGGGTGAAGTGAGCGTAGAGCAGGGGGGACGTTATGCAAAGGGGAAAACACCAAACCCTTGCTCCTTGAAATCCCTATCTTTTTTTCTTTCTTAGTATTGTAACAGGTCAAGTGATAAACCTAAACAGTGATACAATTTACACTAAGCTTTGATGCTGTTCGAAAACTAAACAGATTCTTGTGTTCTAGTCCTGGGTGGACTTCCATATGAAAAGGCGGGCGATGCTCGTTGGAAAATTTGAATTAAACCCCCGAAAAAAGACCAGTTTGGGCGTGGCTCAAGCTTTATTTGACCCTTAAAGATACCACGTAAATTGGAATAGTCTCCATTACCAGCTGCTGTTCAGGAAGGGAGCCTGCACTAGTACATGTAGATGGATTTGAGAGAATGGCAGAAATTGAAACTAAAAACGGAAATGAGAGTTTTGACATCTAAAATAGTGGCACTTCATTGTGAACGCCTTAAATGAGACCAGAATCCTTGATTTATACCCCTAAGCGAGACAATGAGCACATTTTTTCATATGGGATACCGCCTTGGATTTTAGTATTTTACGTGCATGAAAACAAGTGAGAGTTGTAATGACAACAAGCGTGACTTAAAATGCTTTTGAGCAACTTGATTGCTTATAAACAAATTAAATTAACTTAAAGTGCATTTTATGTTTGCTATAGTGACGATCAGGGACTTGTCTACAAAGATGCGATATTTATTTCAACTCACAAGTTTGTTGGAGGAGTGGAAACACCAGGTGAACAGACCTTTCGTGTAATTGACAACGTGTCAGATGGAAAAAGAAAAGTTGTTGTTTGTTAAGTTTGGTAGAAATTTGACAAAAATATTCCTCATTTGGTGGTGCATCATAAAGTCAACCTAGTGATCCATCAATCAAGCTGGGTTCCATATACCCTGCGAGACAGAGATTCCCTCCTCCTTCTGCTTGATTGATGGATCACTAGGCTGACTTTATGATGTACCATCACAGGATAACCCAGAGAATTCTCTTTGCTGGCATCCGTTTAATATGCAACGTTCTCTTCCAGTTATACACTGTGACAGTAAATTATCACGAGCACAGCGCAATGACGCCGTAGCTTAACCCAGACGGCTCTATTCAGAGTCAAGCGCAACAACACTAGGCTACCAGGACCCCCATGCCATGGTACTAGCTACTCAGAAAAAATCCAAATTCTCCCAACAGTAGTCGAACCTGTAACCTTCCACACACCGGCACTGAGCTACNGGGGGGGTGGTACCTCACGTAACTACTGTAGCCTGTGCCACTCAAGCCTGAGACAGGGTCTCGGTCAGTAGGGATTTATCATTTTTTTTCGTTGTTTTTCTGTTACGTGCTTTGAATTATTGAATAAGCATATAACTGAAAGAAAAATGAGAGGGGATCGGCTACCTTTGACTCGATCATTCCCACTGACCATGTTTCCATTGCTCGCCTGCTTGTTTAATTGTCCTGGCTGACTGGTGAAGAGTCTGGAACTGACTAATGTTGCAGATACAATATGCTGTCAATTTGCAGGGATCCTTGTAGCCAAGAAGAGTCTGTTTGTGAACCCTGTTCCCTCGGGCTGTGGTGGTGGCTCTGTATTTTTTGTAAGTACAGAAAAAATAATGTCTTTTAAAGGAGTTCAGTCACGGTTTTTGGAGTTATTTTGGCCACGTACAAAATTATCTTTGAATTGAAGGAAGCCTGAAAATGGTAGTTTACTAAGATGGGAAACACCAAAGAGATAATAATAAACCATGAAGTAACAAGGATGGGCAAGGATGGAGAAGATTGACTCGGATTACAAACGATGAACTTGAAAAATTTAGCCTAAACTTTGCAAGAGCGAAAACCGTGACCTAGCTCCTTTAAGAGTTCCTATTAAACCCTCTGTTTCATTAGGGAGCTTAAGAAACCTCGACGGCGACGGCGAGGACAACGTCTATTAAAAAATGATTGTATATTTTACCTACGAATATCGCGGTGCTCTAAAGTCATTTACTTTGTTTATTACTGTTAAAACTATCACGAAACTGAGTCTAGGACACACCGATAAATTCGACATAAAAATTTAATATATTAGCCGTCGTGGTTCACGTTCTCCAAACAGCGCAGAATTTGGTCATTTCACTTTGTTGTTTTGCAGAGGACGGCAAAGAAATGTACCAAGAATTATAACGCACGTGCACAGCCATTGTTCTCCTCATTAAACCTTTTGTTTAGTGACGTTCCCGTTGCCGTTGCCGCCTTGGTTTTCTTAAACTCCTAATAGTAATAATAGAGTCGAAGGTCCCTTGAAATCGAAAAAAAGGGTCCAGCTTCAGAAATGGAGACCAGCTTAAGCGTCCATGTAGGAAAGTTGTCTGCTAATGAGAGGTTGGAAATGTAATGATTGTATGTGGCTGTATCTGCCTCAACTTCGTTCTCAGGGTTCAGCCTGTTCAACCCTGTTCCAATTTTCAGACAGGCTCTGTGCCAGAGGTTGCCCTACACGGGGGTAGGGGTGCGGATAAAAAAAATTCAATCAGTCCCATTTTGAATCGTACGTGGCATGCGGGAGATTGGAACCTAGAAAGGTGGAAAGTTAGGAATTTGGAATGACCTAGGCAACTCCGATCAACAAGTAACTTGCAGTCGAACTGTTCTTGAATTTGTGAAAGATTCTATGTTTGTGTCACCTTTGGTTAAAAAAGACTCGGAAAAAATATCAGTACGAACTTGAAGGCCCCTTGTAATGGCTAAAACATTGAACTTCAAATGCTAAACGAGCACGTGACGATGTAAAAAAAATGTAAATAGTGCAAAATCCTAAAAAAAAAAACATCATTGGTTGTTTATTATTTACACGGACAGACCGGTCACCGTCAAACGTCTGTGCAAATGGTAAGCAAAATTCCCTGATGGTAAGTTCCGTTCGGACTGTCCAATTAACGAATTGACGTCAGTTTTTTTATGCGTCTGTCCACTTATTGATGATAAATTGCGTCATAACATTGTCAAAGTGGCTGTGGAACCACGAGCCGCCGCAGTAAGCTTTGACAATGTTATGACGAAATTTATCATCAATAAGAGGACAGACGCATAAAAAACTGACGTCAAGTTGATTTTTACAATAACAAGACCCCAGAATGGTCAAATGCCGGGAATAAATGAGGTGAAAAGGCGCCCATAGACTTGCAATTGCCGTAAACAAAGATAAGTGAATTTTATTCAAAATGACGCGAACATGGTCAATGGCTTTTCTCGCTTTTTGATTGGCCACTTAAAAAAGTCCATGAAGCTTCATGGGTTAAAAAGTTGACAGATGAACTTGAAAGCTTGCATATATTAAAATTTTATCCGTCTGTACTCTTATTGATAATAAAAGAGCCGATCAGCGCGCGAGAAATTAGACAGTTATTGTAAAATTACCATTCACTCAAAAAACCCAGTTTACCGAGAGAGACTAGGACGAGTTCGACCTGATCATAATTCCAAGATGGCGGTGAAGCATATTTTCCATTCGGATATTTCGGGTGGAGTACCTTTCAAGACGCAACTCTGTTTATTTCTTAAATGTTCCGGTCGGCCGAGCCAAAATTGTCTTTCCATTTACATTCTGATCGAAATTTCCGGAATTTGAGGGTAAATGGTAAACACCATTAACTACCCGCTTTTCAACTTCCGTTTTCTTTGTACTGAATTAAAACACAATGTCAGTATCATAGCACTGTAGTTAGAACTTACATGTATTTTGATAATAAAACCTAATGTAACTTCGCTACATTTTCATTTAATTTTTGCACGTAACATTTCTTTCATATACACAGCTGTAGAAACTGCTCCACAAATTTCTAGCTTCAGTTTAAACACCACCTTATACAAATTAAGTTTCTCTACTTTTTACATAGATTTATTTCAAATATACGCTGTTTTTGGCTATTTCTTTGTATATAAGACTACCATGCAACTAAATGTATAAGGCATGCATGAACTATTATGAAATATCAGTAAGTTTGCATTCTTTCTTAAGTATTGTAGTTTTTTACATGGCACGCTTTGGTCGTTCTCATAAACGCCAAAGCGCAGTCCTAGCTCGTTATATACAAAAAGTGTTTATCAACAACGATAAAATTGAGTTTGGAGAATCATGATATCACTGGAAAAGTTGAAAATTTACATGGACATGTCAATTTTAATTTACAGCATGTAAATCTTGATTTACATTCTTTGTAAATTACAATTTACATGTTAGGGTTTTGTAAAATAAATTTACAGGAAATTTACAGCTTTTAGTACAGCATGTAAATGTTCTGTAAATAATGATTTACATTATCTTTGTCGACAATGATCATTTGAAGAACATGTAAAAACCTGTAAAATAGTTTACGCACTTTTACAGTATCTGCCTTTGTAAAAAACATGTAAATTGCTTTGCTAAACC